CACTTTAACTATCCAACCTTTTAATAAATAAACACGCGAATCCTACTTGGCAAAATGCGTGATGTGCACGTATTTTGTGCTAGTTAGGAGTAATTTTCGAGTCCCACAACAGTAAAAAAATGCTGAAATGACAACTCTACTCCCCGGATTCCGGCCAATCTCCGGCAACCCAAAACCTCCGTTCATTTTCTTCTTTTTCAGGCAAAACGCCACCAAATACCCAGCCATTCTCCTTCTTCCTCACACCGGAGCACAACCCATGAAGCGAACGAGCTTCGAGCTCGCTAAACCCACCAAATACCCGACCCCAAACCCATCAGATCCGCCATCTCCGGCGAGAATCATCACGAAACAACACTGCTGCAACCAACAGACCCAACAACCACAAACACCTAAACCAAGAAGCCAACCATCAACAAACCCCTAAGTTCCGTCAAACAATGAGCTCCAAGCTCTAAAAACCATTAGGAGGAATTAATTTTGATTATGGTATATAAATTAAAATTAATTTTGAATTTTTTAGTTCTAAAATGACGTGTAAAATATTAATTAGTTGGCAGCCATTGAGTGGCTCACTAATACACGTTGGAGCGTTTGCATTTCATGCTCTTTGGCTATAAAAATCGTGTGTTTATTTATTTAAAAGTTGGATAGTTAAATGTCTATTTATGCACTTTAAAAGTTGGAGGTCAAAGTTAAAATTTGAAACCAAGTTTAGGGTCCAATATATTTATTATGCCTTCGGAGATTGTGATGATTCATAATGGATATTTAATTATGATGTGATCTTATTAGTAATTTGGGTGGTGTTACACAAGCATTCCCGTAAAAAAAATTAATGAGAAAGAATAAAAAAGAAAACAAAAATAATTAATGAGAAAGAACAAAAGTAATCAGTTATCCCTTCCAAAGAATTTGCAACTCAAAATGATCAAATGTTAAAAAACATTAATATAATATAATACCCTTAAAAGCTAGATTATAACAAAAAATAGCTATGAATACATTATGTAGTCTCAGTTTGTAAACTTACATAAAAATGCGTTGGGAGAAAAAAAAAGAAATAAATATCACGCAAATACAAAATCAAACTGACATTTAGGGCATACATTTTTTTTCTTTAACCCCCCTAAAGGGCAGAGAGAAAATGAATTAGCAAAATGTGTTACAAATTCTGCTGTCTATTCTGTATCTCTGATGCTTCCACTTGTGAGCCACAGTTTCTTTTGCACGACGAAAATGACCTCATCGTTGTCCTGCTCGGGATCTGAGGTGGAATCAGTTGATCCAACTGCTTCCCAGTGCAATGCTGATAAATGCTTCTTTACGAATTCGATAACATGTTGTTTATCACGGATGATAACGAAACCTGTAGGCCTTAGTATACGATCAATCTCGAGTAACAAGTCTTCACCACTGCAACCTTTCTTCTCAGCATCAGAGAAGACTGTCCATGCATGGAGCAAATCATAGGTCCTGGGATATGTTGAGAATGCTTCACACCTGCACAAAAGAGTGTAAGTGCAACTAATGTTACAAATGAACATTCACCTTGGCTATGATCATGTTCTACTGGGGAAAATATAAGACCGATAACTCATGTCCGAGCTCCTCAACCATGAAAAGACTTGAATAACAATGCACAGCTACATTAGTTTCATAATGGCTAGAAAAACTAAGGTGTTTATAAATATGCTCAGTTCAATGTCCTAAAGGCGAAAGATTTATGCCACAAAGCCGAACTAGCAGACTAACATGGTTATACAAAGTAGGAAAGATTATCCACCTACCAGTCATGAGTTGTGCCAATCAAGCCTCGGTCATATACAATCTTGAGAGTGTTGGGTCCATCTTTGGGTACAACGTTCATGACCCATACGTTTTTGTCCTTCAGAGCAGCAGCAAATGACCCCAAGTTAGCCTTCATGTCCATGATATTTCTCAAGGTGTCTGATGAAATCTTTGGACTTAACAGACTCCAATATTGGTCAACCCTCTGCCTCCAAGTCTCCTGTTAATAAGCCAAGAACGCAAGGAGTCATTAAGTTTGTAATGGAGCACTTAAGGTCGTGCTGAATCAAATGGCATAAGTTGACCAATATTACTAAAACAAATTACCGTGTCCTTTTCAAACATTTCATTCGAATACCCAAAATCAGCAAGACGGGGAGGAGGACTACTTAATCGAGCTGGCCAAGGAGCCAGTCCACTTCCACCGACTTTGTGGTCATCTGAGAGAATGATGACAATAAGGAAGTAAGGTTTCGAGGAAAACTAACAGTAAGCAACTTTCAAGTTTCTTATAACCTTCACTCAACAAAAATGCATCTATTTGATAAGACAGACAAGAGGCAAGCACTTACGTTCAGAATAAGGTGTTATGCATGCCTCCATATTCACACCCCAAACGGCATCTGGATCATTATCAGATCGACAGAGTGGTGGTTGTGTACCAGGAGGTCTTTCCATGTAACAATCATTGTTTAGAGGTTTTTGCCAAATGACAGTTTGGTTCTTTTTCGCTGCAATTCTCCAGCACATGCGTTCAACAAGTGTACTCATCTCTCTCCATATTCTTAAATCCTCTTCATCCTGTGCATATGCTTCAGGGGATGAGTATGCAAAATAGCCTCCAGGTCTAAGTACCCTATCGAGCTCAAGGAGAAGGATTCCATCCCTTTGAAGCCAATCAATCCTACAACGAGAACAGTGAGAAAATTCAAATGACCTGCTTGGATAAGGAAGCCTTTTCGTTCCAAGGACACCAAGGTATGCAGGAATTCCTCTCTCTAAAGCAAACTGTATTTGATTCTGATGCACATCATTTGGTGCCAATGACATTGCTATAATATCAGAGGATAGAAGATAGCCACCAAAACTAGCCACACCGCAACCAACATCAAAAACTGTCCGTATCCTTCCCTCATCATTCAAGTTATCGTTTGTAAAGTTCAGCATCTGCAATCATGATTACAGGTATGATAAAGTTTAACATTTCATATATTACTAGGTTCCCTTTTTTGACATTTCTGCAATATGTGAGAAAGAGAAAAAAAGTCCTTACATTTGCAATTAGCGCAATGTACTTATCTGCTCCATAGTGAAAGTGAGTTCCTCCACCAGGAAATACTATCTTTTCACCCTTAACAACCATCCAGTTCTGGTCAGATTTCTCATTTGCAAGGTGCGTATGAGGGATGTTCAATTTCCAAACCTCATCTCTACTTCTTGGCCACTTAATTGGCACCTATAGCAGCATATAAATGAGCAAATGATATAAGTGTCGGAAAAAAACTACTAGTAAATTTGGAAATATGTCCAGATTAACTTCACTATAGCTTCAGCCTATTCACCTTGTATCCAGGAGGAGGAGGAATCAGACAATTAAAACGTCTTTCTGGCAGGGGGCAATGTCTTTCATAGTGCTCCATCAGTGACAAATCCAACTTTAATCTCATTTGATAAATGAGATGTCTGTCCAGACACGGAATTAATTCTGAATGTCGATCATCACAAACCTTCAAATGAAAGACCAGTACAAAATTAAGAAGGCAAACAAAGGAAGCAACCAAATGCAGCAAGTCATCCTTTCCTCCAATTAGCCACTCTTGGTGGTTGGAGGAGAGCTTTGTGACATAACATTGGGCTGTGAAATGAAAAAAGAAAACTTACTGGAAAACTCTTAGGGACGATGCCACCATCACTATCTTCCAGTCCAAACTTCTCCTCTTGCCTGCTGCTGAGATCAGAGTTATCATCCCCACCCAAATAAGATGATCCCAATTTCCTCAAAGAACGGCTGCCATACTCAAGAGCAGACTCACCACCGCTCTTGGATCCAAAATACATGTAAAGGAAAACAACCAAGACAGCCCCAATACCTATAAAAGTCCATAAGCGCTTCTTTTGCGCTCCATCTGATCTCCCTCGCATCATTTGGTTTATTTTGTGTCCGTGGAAAAACTTAACTTTCTCTTTTCAACTTCAGCTCTTTGATATCATAATTGTCTAGATAAGGCACCAATTAAAATCAAGTGTCCTGACTAAGGAGATTAAACAATTTAGACTCTTGAGAAAAGTTGATCTACAATGTTGAGGAAGCAACCTGAGAAATCAAATACATTATCCATAAAAAACTAATCCAGTAGTGTAGGCCGGAAAAAAAAAAAAAAAAGTTTCAGTCACCACACAGCTATTCCAGATCTGTTCAGAGTGTGAATCACTTAGTTTTCGAATACACGTGTCTGTAACCTGGGATGGAGCTATGTATAGACAAGGGGTTCAATTGAATCCCCTTCATCATAAAATTATAATATGCAAATAGAAAACGAGATTTTCTGGTTGTATATAAACTGTTGAATCCCCTTGACATAAGAGAAGATCCTTGTGCATTGGCAAAGGGATTCAAAACTTGCTTTAGGTCACACGTAAAATCCCAAATGTAAATTCTAGTATTATTATTATTTTTGAATCCCCTTATATAAATTGCTAGCTCCGCCACTTTCTATAACCATAAGCTATTTTGTGAACCAAGAGCAGATCATTAGTGAAAGCAAATGTTAACTAACACCACACAACCTAATGTGAACAATTAATCACATTCTCTATATTAAACGGTCTATGAAAAGAAAAGTGTACTAAAAGATAAATGCAAAAGTCCATCAAGACATGTATAGTGTGATGCAGGGGAGTAACTAGAACCCAAATCCAGTAGATTTAGTTCAAGCCTTGTACTTGTATTAAGAAACTCACTAAATATGCACAAAAATTAAATTCACAATCCAATCATTAACACCTGATTTCAGCTATATTGCTCAAACATTTCAAAAATATCAACAACTGTGTGTCAGATACTCCAAAAGTAGTGCATTTTTTTGAAGTTCATAAAGAGTCCAAGCAACATGTCACTATCCTACAATTTACTACTCATAAAGTTCAAATCTCAACTCCGTCTCTCGTATGAAAAGACCAACTAACTATATTCAAGTTTGGTTTAGAGCTTAATAACATAATGTCAAGGCCTAAAAACACTTTTTTTGTAAAAACATGAAAAGGGCACATATATAAATCACTAAACATGAAACAAAGAAACACAGATCTGGAATCACATATTAAAGAACCCACCATTCACAAAAAACAGAGATCAAAACAAGAAACTAAGCACACAAAAATAGACCCCCTTTGGAAGTATACTTAAGTTGCATTACTCATTACTCATTTATCTAAATTGGGTATACGATACAAAAAGTATTAATGAGTAACCCAAAAATTGAATCAGATCGAAGAAAAGTAGAAAACTTACAGATCTGAATTAGGAATAATGAGAGGGAAACCCAATAATGGGACCAAAAGAAAATGCAAATGGGTTCCTGGAGATGTAAGTGTGGAAAAAACTTGCTATAAAAAGGGAATGGATATGATGAGAGAGAGTGAGAGAGACTGTGTGTGTGTGTGTTTTTTTCTGCAGAGAATAAATAGAAGGACAGAGAGAGTGACGGTGGATTAGATCTAAGTTTTTTTTTTTTTCCAGTGTGAAAAGTGTTAACTAATGGGACTCTTTTTCCAAATTTTCATTTTAAAAAGCGGAGTTAATATTTGAAGTTTATAGGTGACATAATATGTTAACATGTTATTTAACTTAATAGATCACTATGATGAAAATATATTTTAGTGATGATAAATATGTTTATTAACAAAGAGTATAAAAAGTTTTTATCTATATTAATTAAGTGTTATTAGATTCAATATCACTATAGACTTTAAGGACATTTACAACAAGTGTTAATTGTCTTAAAAATTATATATTTAGCAGTAATTAAGCGATTGTTATTAATTTATTGTTACCAGAGATCAGTTTGGTGTAGTGTCAATTGATATCTACGTTTTAAAAAAAATTAAATGTGCATAAGTCGTTAAATCAACATTTAAATATGTATAAAATAGAATAAATAGACATATTAATTCTACGTGTCAATTCGCGTGACTTATTTACTAACTAAAATTTGTAAAACTTGTAACTGATTATGGGTTTGATTTGAAGGGTAGATGAGAAATATTCTTTCAATTTCATAGACTTAAACATGTCACGTCGTTTTAATAGAAAAGTATTAATAACCAAAAAAATATAGGAATGTTCATGTTAAAAGCTTATTAGATATAGAAATATTATTTTCTAAAAGTAATTTTAATAAATAAAATACATAAGTTGAAACAAATTTGGGTATTCTTTTTTTCTTCTTTTTTTTAGACTGTTGTTTGAGAAAAATAAACAGGACAGCTAAAAAGGTGCTCATCACAAAAAGAAAAAAGGTTGACATATGCTCATATTCTTTTTTAAGAATTATATGATTCTTTTGTTTTAGCTAGAAATCTTGAATTTTAATTTCAAGTGTGAAAAAAAAAATCTTAATTATTTTTACATGTGAACTTTTATGAAATAATAAGGAGAAAATACTTACATATATTAACATCAAATTAAATATTTTAATCCTATAATTACAAGTTAAAGTGAAAATAATTTTACTTTATTACAGTTATATTATTAAATTTATCTTTCAAAAGTACTTATGTATATAATATTCTTAGTTTAGTTTGATGCAAATAAAGAGTATGTATAGGTATATGGTCTTTGTGTTTGTCAAGTGAAACTTCACCTTATATTTAAAAAAGTTAAAACCAAACTAAGTTTTACTTACTTATAAACGGAAGTGAAAAATAGTTTTTACTTACTTAGATAAGTTATTAGAAATTATTTTCTTAAAAGTATTTATCGTATATTTATTAATTTGATATAAATATAAAATGTGAACGTTTTTAGGTATAGGCATTGCAATTTGCATGAGATTAATTCAATAGACGTGAAAATCATAAACACTATATGTATTGAAAAATTTATCTCAAACAACATGATAGATGCGTTACCCTTTATCATGACAATTAATTCATCGATCCATATGAGTCATTTGGTATGTTGAACAAGTATAGATAATCTTGAAATTAAAATTAAGTACTATATTATCTCTTATATGGTTATTAATTCTAAAATAAACTATACCATGATTAATAACTACTATCAGAACAAGCTATTCCTGACACAAGGTAGAGGGTCGAGATAAAATAAAATTGACAAAAATATCCCTAAGATCCCTCAGTCCCCCTTTTATTAAATAAAAATAAGATGAAGATATTTTTGTAATCAAATAACTTCACTTAGAAGTTATGCAATGTGTTGTTATTCACAATACAAGCAGCCAAATCATCAATAAGAAATAATATATACCAAAATAACTAATCTCAATATAACATGTCTTCAAAGAAAACGATGTCATAGAGTTTAAATTCTGAATCATCTGATTGGAGGAACATGGGGAGATAGAATTATAAATACTTACTCGCTCCGAATTAAAAAATAATGAAGTGAGAGAACATATCAATTAACCTTTGACATATGTCTTATATTCATTCGTTTGGTATAATTATCGGGTGCAGATAAGTTTTTACCAGTGAGATATTGTACTATGTTTTACATAAGGTGGTTATAAAATGATCCAAATAAGCGCGCCAAAATCGAAAATGTAAGGTTCCCCTAAACTTGCTGTCACTTTATTTTCTCCTCTCTTTTTTTTCTGCTTCTTTCCAATTTTTTCTTTTTGCTTCCTCTGATCTAATCTCAAAAAATTTCTAAATTTCAACATTTACCCACTAGAAATCTACATCAATGTAACATGAATTCAAAAAAATCTTGAATTTTTTCGATCGAATTTTGGTTTTAATTTGGTGAATGTAGGTGGATCATAGTATCGAAAAGTTTCTATTTTGGGAAAAAGGGATCAGTTTTAAAAATTAGGGTTGGAAGAGATTAATGATAGGCCAAGGAAGATTGCATTGGTATCTATGATGAATATGTTGATGGTTGGGAGGACAACAAATAGGCTTCTTTGGTGGATAGCCAAGATTTGTTTCAGATGGAATGGCAGATCCTGCTAGTTATGGCAATCCTGACCGCGACATTGACCAGGTATATTTTGTGAGTATAAGTGGCGCGAAGTCAGAATTTTTATATTTTTTTAAAAAAATTGTGGGGTAGGAGAAGGGGTAGAGGATTACGAGGTGAGGAACTGAATCACTCACCAATAAAGTGAAAGTTCGCCATGAAAATTGTGATTATCTGAAAAAAAGTAGTTTTTGTTTTCATGTGAAAAATTGTGAATCACACCCAATTTTTAACTTTTGGCTTTTGAGTTACCCAAAAGCCAAAAGTCACTAAAAGTAAGTCAATCCAAACACCTACTTAATGGTCATATAACACACCTAAACTATCATTTTTTCAGGACTTTCATACCTCGACTATCCATTGTTCTCTTTACCTACATAAACTCACTACCTTTGTATTAAAACACTCCTCGATGTTGAGTTAGCCAATTGTTTGTTCCTGGTCAACAACAGACGCGTGTAGGCCAACACAGCATCGAGGTGCGTTTTAATGCAAATGGAGTGATAGTTGAGGTATGAAACTTGTTTAAATATTATAGTGTAGGTGTTTTTTTTTACTGTAGACTCTAACAAAGTACTGTGTAACCTATATACCTAGTTTAATTTTCTGATGAGGGGTGTTCTTCAACTGACCAAAGAATTGTATTACTCTTGTGGGAAATGGAGTTCATCTGCTCTAATTTATGCAAATTCGATACACGAATTATACCCTATTCGTTGCTTAGCATGAGTAGATGAATTGAGTGAAATAAACTTGTTATTAAACAGATAAAAGTGTCACATATGTAGCTAGTTATGTAGTATTTAGTGGGAAAACGACTTAAGTGAAATGAGCTTCCATGAGTAATGCCTCAGGCACAACTATCAAGGTATTGTCCGCTCTAGCCCAACTTTTCAGGCCTCACGGTTTTGTCTCCGTGAACTTTAGCTCAAAAGGTGCCTCAATCACCATGGCTCCATCATTGTGGCTGTTGTTTATTCGACCAATCTGGACAATACTAAAACAATAATTTTACTAACTCGACTAGACTTAGCAACATAAGGCAGAGAATTTTTTTGCAAATGCATCCTTGTCTTCCTAGTGTTCCATCATTGAAAATGTATAGATGCCAATTGCAATTTAATATCTCGAACAGTCGTGCTTCACTAAGATTAAATAAAGTATGGGTACGGTATGCTTTTATAAAATGGTATGATGTTAAAACTCATAATGCTTGAATTTCAGTTGGCAACAACAGTTTTCTCATGACTTTGAATATATAGAATTTTCATGTTGTTTTTCAAATTTCATAGACATTACAACATAATTATCATAAAGTTCTTGATTTTCCAGTGATCTTATTTCTCACTTAACACTTATTTTGAAGGGGCTAATTACGTTGAAGAAAGGTACACAGCTAATTAAGTATAGCCGGAAGGGGAAGCCAAAGTTCTGCCCTTTCAGAGTTTCTCCGGTAATTGATTGCATTACTTCTGAGCTTCATATCAACTAGTAATGTGCTTTTTATGATTTTTACACTGTTTGCAATCTGAGAGCTTCTATATGAACTTATTATTCTTGTCCGGAAATTTACAAATTAACTGAAGACTCTCTCTAAGAACAAGAATTTGAAAGAAAAGCCATTTAAGGAATACCATAGTTTTGTATACTTGCTATCAAACACCAAGGGATAAGAATCGGTTGATCGCAATAGTTTGATTGCGAGGTACTACAACTTAAAGTAGGTCTTCAAGGCTATTCTCACAGCGGAATATGGGGTTTCAATTCCAAAAGGGAAAAAAAAATACTCCATACATCCCATTTGACTTGCATAAAAGTTTATGTTATTGCAATGCCTTTTACTAAGTCAAAGTATTTGAAACTGAATGTTTTGTCCTGCTTTCCTTATTAATTGACATGTTTTCTTCACAGTCGTATTACCCTTTTCATAGCCACTTAAATTTTCTGCACTTGAATTGAGGTTCTTTCGGAAACAAGCTCTCTACCTCCACAAAGTAGGGGTAAGGTCTGTGTACACTCTACCTTCTCCAGACCCCACTTGTTTGATCACACTGGATATGTTGTTGTAAAATATTTGAAAGTGAAGCCGAGGTTCTTTTGAAAGTGAATCAAATAGTTGGTAGTACCAAGAAAGCTATTTTTAGTGTTTAGTATACATAACATTTTTCCTTGTATTTATTAGCAACTGTTTGTCATTGTTTTGTTCATAAGTAAAAGTAATTCTGGTTACATGAATCTCTATTGGTTATTTTGCTAGTAGCTGCTTGATTGGTGACGCCAGTCGTGTCATAGTTCATTTCAAGTTCCTTAAAGTTTCTGTTCCATCCAAGAGTCTCGTGCCATATGCTTCTCGTTTTCTTTCTGTAACTTACCAGTGTTGTCAAAGGCGCGCTTAAGCCCTGAAGCGAGGCTCAAAATGTATTGAGTGCATTGCTTCGCTTAAGACATATTTTTCCTTTGTAATTATTAGTCTTGGACTAAACATAATATATATGTATTTTTCTCCATTTGCGCCTTTTTTAATTAAAGGTCATGCTTTATTTGTGTTTTGCGCTTAAAGCTCCAATGGACCTTAAAGCTCTTTTGCCCTTTTTGCTTTTGATAACACTGTAACTTACTACTTCGGCTGCTCCTGAGTTCTTCCGGTGTCTGAACTGATGAAAGCGCCTTATCAGTTCAAATATGCATCTGGCTTTCTAGCTCACTCAAAAAGCCAGATCATGAAGTTGATTTCTGAAATTATATGATATCTGATGGAAGATTACAGCTTTACTTTTGGTACTGCCAGGATGAAACAACATTAATTTGGTACTCTCGTGGATCAGAAAGGAATCTAAAGCTATCAGCAGTTTCAAAAATTATTCCTGGCCAGAGAACTGTGAGTTAATGATTATGCGTTTACATTTTGCAAAGAGTTCGTTTACCTATTAATGTGAACTTTTGCGTGTGAATATGTCTATGCAGCCTGTTTTTAAAAGATTTTTGCGCCCAGAGAAGGAGTACTTGTCATTTTCCCTTATATACAACAATGGCGAAAGATCTCTAGATCTGGTTGGTGAATAGATAATTTGGTTTTTGCTGTCATGAATATTGTTTGGAGAAAGTTTTACTAAGGTGACTGTTAATTATCATTTTCATTTTGAAGATCTGCAAGGATAAGATCGAAGCGGAGATTTGGATTGCTGGACTAAAGAATATAATTTCAGCTGGTCAAGCTCGTAGTAGACGTACTAGGAGTGATATTACTGATGTAAGTTTTTAACCTTGAACTTTAAGGTCAAATCAACCAACTATTCATCTCTTACATCTATCTTACATATTGTACCATGTGGAAGTCACTTTCTCTTTTTCATTTTTTACCATGAACCGAGGCTCTATTGGAGAAAACTCTCTCTACCTGAAGGTAGGCGTAAGGACTGTGTACACCCCACCCTCCTCGGACCCCACTTGTGGGACTACACTGGATATGTTTTTGTTTTTTTTTAACCATGCACAAATTGACCACTTTTGACTAGATATCCGGCACTAAATGCGTTGTTTATATTCAATGATGAGAGATCTGTGACCTTCACTTCATCACATTTCTTGAAGTTTCTTTCAAGGAACACTAAACAATAGCATTACCCTTCAACTGTTGCATGTCTAACGAAAGAAGATGTGAAGGCAACATCATAGTTCGTTTTTTAAGATTGAACTGTGGAAAAAGATGCTTGAGACTATATACAAGTTTGTCTCATAACTTTTTTTGTTTCAAAGATGTTATGAACTTAATACATGGGGGATGGTTAACTTGTTTTTGTTTATAAGTATTGTATTTACATATGGTAGTTACTAGACATGCCATTTGATCAGCTTCTCTGTGTGCGTTAAGGTTCTACAGTCATTAACTACCATTTAGCAGTTTTATTGTAACATATTTTGACATCTTCTCTCTATGATTTTATATGCAGTTACAAAATTCCACTCCATGTGGTGCATCACTAGATTTCAGCCAAACTATTTCTCGGGATTGGACTTCTGCTGATCCATATGGTTATGAAACTTCCTCGAATGTGCGATGCTCAGATGTAGGGTCTGAACGTGGAAATATGCAAGTAAGAACAAGTTCGGATGGTTTCCGTATTAGTGTCTCTAGCACTCCAAGTTGTTCGAGTGGGGGTTCGGGGCCAGATGACATAGAATCATTAGGTGATGTTTATGTGTGGGGGGAGATTTGGTGTGATGGAGCATTAAAAGATGGGGCAGGGAATCCAATTCCTGTTAAACATGATGTACTTACTCCTAAACCTTTGGAGTCAAATGTGGTTCTTGATGTTCATCAAATTGCTTGTGGTGTACGACACGTTGCTCTTGTTACAAGGCAAGGAGAGGTTTTCACTTGGGGAGAAGAATCCGGGGGCAGACTTGGTCATGGAGTTGAAAGGGACTTTAGCCGCCCAAAACTTGTTGAATTTTTGGCAGTTACAAACGTCGATTTTGTTTCGTGTGGAGAGTTTCATACCTGTGCTGTGTCTACGATGGGCGATTTATATACTTGGGGTGATGGAACACACAATGCTGGACTTCTTGGGCATGGAAATGATGTTAGCCACTGGATACCTAAAAGAGTTTCCGGTCCTCTGGAAGGGCTTCAAGTTTTATCGGTTGCATGTGGTACCTGGCATTCAGCATTGGCAACTGCAAACGGAAAACTATTCACATTTGGGGATGGAACATATGGCGCCTTAGGTCATGGTAATCGTGTAACTGTACCGTATCCCAAGGAAGTTCAATCACTGAATGGACTTAAGACTATTAAAGTTGCTTGTGGTGTGTGGCACACTGCTGCTATCGTGGAAGTCACGAACCACAACTGTGGAAATCTTCCTACGAGAAAGTTGTTCACCTGGGGAGATGGCGATAAGTATAGATTAGGCCATGGAAATAAAGAAGCTTATATGCTTCCGACCTGTGTCTCTGCACTTATCGATTACAACTTTCATCAGTTAGCATGTGGACATAATATAACCGTTGGTCTTACCACATCGGGTCACGTCTTCATCATGGGAAGCAATGCATATGGTCAGCTTGGAAATCCACAGGCTGATGGGAAGGCTCCTTCTCTTGTACAAGATAGATTGGTAGGTGAATTTGTTGAAGAAATAACATGTGGCTCGTTCCATGTTGCTGTCCTTACATCAAGAAGTGAAGTCTTTACGTGGGGAAAAGGTGCTAACGGAAGGTTAGGTCACGGTGACACTGAAGATCGCAACAGTCCAACATTAATCGAGGCCTTAAAAGACAGGCATGTGAAGAACATAGCATGTGGCTCTAATTATACTGCCAGCATTTGCATTCATAAGTGGGTGTCTGGAGCAGATCAATCTGTTTGCTCGGGTTGTCGACAAGCATTTGGGTTTACGCGAAAGAGGCACAACTGTTATAATTGTGGACTAGTGCATTGCCATGCTTGCAGTTCGAAAAAAGCACTGAAAGCTGCGCTAGCTCCAACTCCAGGTAAACCACACCGTGTTTGTGACTCTTGCTACATGAAATTGAAAAAGGCTTCCGAAGGAAACTCCTCACTTTTTGTTAAAAAATTCAATTCCTCTCATCGACCAATAGAGAATAGTAAGTTAGACAGGGGCGAGGCGAAAATATCAAGAGTTTTGCTCTCTCCCACGATCGAACCAATTAAGTACCTCGAAGTCAAGTCTATGAGGCCTGGCATCAAATCAGATAATTTCAGTATAGTGAGAGCTTCACAAGTTCCCTCACTTTTGCAATTAAAAGATATTGCTTTTCCTAGTTCACTTAGTGCACTTCAATATGCCTTGAAGCCTGTCGTGACAGCACCATCTCAACTTCAGCTTCAGCCTCAGTCTCAGCCTCAGCCTCCGCCTCCTTCGTCCAACTCTAGACCTGCTTCACCGTACTCGAGAAGGCCAAGTCCTCCACGCTCCCCTGCGCCTGTTTTCTCAAGGGGTGTCATTGATAGTCTTAGAAAGACAAATGACGTATTGCACCAAGAAGTTGCCAAATTGCAAAATCAGGTATGGAACTCTTCACATATAAAACAAGAGGATTTATCATTTAATTGATGAACTTTATGTCTAGACCTATCCAGAGGAAAATATTGAAATTTGTAGGGGGAAAAAGTACCAATTTTTATTGAGCCGCCCTTGGAGGTATCATTATTAGTTGTCTCGTTTACATTTGTAGATCAAAAGTTTAAAGCAGAAAAGTGATGGACAAGATGCTGAACTACGAAAATTGAAGGAAAGTTCTCAAGAATCGTCTAGGTTGGTTGCAGAGAGAGCATCAAAGTGTAATGTCGCAGTGGAAACCATGAAGTCTATTACTATTCAAGTAATGTTCAAATTGCTTCTCTTACGTTTATGATTTGTGTTATATTTTCCTCATCTTCAGAATTCCATTTAGTTATTTTTAGATACATCTATCAAAATGTTTGCCTCTTTTATATTTTACCTCAAAGAAAATCGTTAGTTGGGTACAATCTTTAGATATTGCTCGGACTCTCCAAAACTACTATCTCACCTGTGTCTGATTTTTCAAAAATACACTACTTTTGGAGGATCCGACATGCACCCAATGGTATTTCACAAGAGTCCGAGCAACAGAGGTTCAACATCATATAACTTTAGTTGAACGAAATCATCCAAATTCCTATAACTTGCTTGATCTTGTCTTTTTTATGGGGGGTTCAACTCCCACACGGTTGTTTCGTGTATAGAAGTTTGATTTCTTTTTTTCATTACGTCTTCATGTCATGATAATGGAGCGTTTAATCGTGTCTTCTGTTACTTCAGCTGAAAGGTATGACACAAGAACTGCCTCCTGATATCTCTGAGAGTCCAGCCATCAAATCCATACATGCTCAAGTTGAATCATTTCTTAATACATTTGGGAATCAAGAAGACAGCTCTTCTTTGCAACCAGACACGTCGTATAGTCATCAGAAACCAACACACAGAAATAATATATCAGAGTCTGTTATAAGAAATGATCATTGGGATGCTGCTGGAATCCATGATACGTCACACAGTGTCGATGGAACAGTACGTGAAAACCATGGACAATCAACTCCTAGAAGTTTCTCGGGGTCACCTAGAGCTCCAAGAGAGGGACAAAAGGAAGTTATCGAACAATTTGAACCTGGCGTCTATGTCACTCTCCTTCAACTTACAAATGGCACCAAGATCTTCAAACGAGTTAGATTCAGGTATTTAACTAAATTTCCTCTGTTGCAGTTTTGATTACTTGTACTCCCCTCAATCCCTCTGTTTCGTTTTATCTGGCACACTTTTTTTAGTTTGTCCAAAGAATAACGACATTTTCCTATATTATCTATGACATGATTTATAGCCACACAATTATCTATGGCTTGTTTTAGATCTCGAGTTTCAAAAGAGACTATCTTTCTTTCTTAAACAATGTGCCTCGTCAAACATCGTCACATAAAATGTACTGTTTGTTGATTAAACAATTTCTTGCAGTAAACGAAGGTTTGCGGAGCAACAAGCAGAAGAATGGTGGAAAGAAAACAAAGACAGGCTACTGAAAAAGTACAGCCCTCCGAAGATAAATGTTGCATCTACTACTACTGATTCATCACCCGCATCACCAGCATCACCAGCACCACCACCACAAGAAAATAACGAAGCATCATAGTCTTCGTAGACGTAGTGATTGTTAATTTTGTCCAGCTTAGTTGTTAGCATAGAGGCGGGTTCAAGATTTAGACTCAACGATCTTGAAGTTGGTATATTGTATGCCTTGTAGATTTTTTTAGAACTGACATATATTTTGGACTTGAAGGATAAATTTAACCCCCTAAATCATCACAAAAAATAAATTTATCCTCTTGAGAACTCACATGTATACAAAATATAGATTGTTTCTTAGTTAGTAGTTTAACAATTGAGTTTGAAGTGATTGAATATGTTTTTTTTTCCTTATGGTTTCTTAAATTCACTAGCTTGACTAAATCAAATTCGCGCCATGAAATAAGGAAAAAGTGGTCCGGCCTACTAGGAATTTGTTTGTTTCAAGGCTCAAACAGAGACCTCTGATTAAGATGGAGGGATCTCATTTATTCCACTACATCCCTTTAGTGGTGATTGATTATCGTCTAAAACATGCCAACATAAATAATTGAACTAAGATCACTATTATCTTTTTTTTATAATTACAATATCTATTTTATAAGGTACAAACACATTATTTTTTTGTATCTAACTGAGTACTTGTACTTCATACCACCTAAGTTAAGGAAGTTCGACTGTGTTATAAAAAGACCAAACAATGAAATGGGGAAATACACATAGGGTACGCCACAACAATGGTAGAGTACGATAAGAGGGAGTTGCTCGGATGGTAAGCACCCCTCACTTCCAACCCGAAGGTTGCGAGTTCGAGTCACCAAGGGAGCAAAAGGGGTGGGAGCTCCTAGGGAGGGTAATAAAAATAAAAAAAAACAATGGTAGAGTACGTATAACTAATACATGTATTAGAGTTATACACCCTATTTGGTGTGTATAACTAATACCTTACATTTGGTGGTATTAGTAATACATATGATTTATACCATGAGATTAATATATGTAAAAACAAAAATACCCCTAAATCATTTTATTTATTTTCTTGATTTTATGTTTTATATTTGCACTAGTAAATTTATTTAAATAAATTACCTTACAAATTTTATTATTTAGAGAAAGTTGTTTGTTGCTAAATAAATCCATTACAAATCAATACAATATTTGAAATGTGAGTTGTTTAACATTTACTAATTGAAAAGACTAATATATGACCTCATGACGTTTGTGATCTTAATTTAATGTATTATTTGTTGATCTCAGTGTGTGTTACTAAGATGACAATTATTTACCCTCAAATAAATCAAGTGAGAAAATAGCAAAAATGACGACATAATTGTTCTTTTCCTAGCTAGTTAGAAGACCATAAAAAAAAATATTGTCCGACAATTATCTACCTTGACTCAATTACATGAAATAGAAAATTTCATAATAATTCAGGGATATAATTGGAAAGAAATTTTTTTTGTAGAGTTTTAAACCAAACACAAAATTAGCTGAGAAGCAATGAATCAAACACTTGATAAAAAATAATTCCTACAATTACTAATCTCAATATTATTAATTCCTATATACGTTATTAATCTTTGTACCAAATGATCTCTCGCTCTCATTTGATAAGACTATCAAAACCAAAAACAAGCGATGCAACACAACACTTGCAACACCAAACCAACAATCCCACCTAATAAACATTATGAATAAAAACAAACTTCCATGCAAATAAAAACACAAAAAGAAACAACTCATTATGCCACATTTCACACAAAACCTCTTCATATGTGTTAAAATCAATCAAACACTTTGATTCCATGCAAACAATTACGTGTCAATCTTTTTTCTTCAATTTTTCCCTATAAATTTCCACCCATTTTCCCATTTTTTCATCAACAAAAAAGAAGAGTAATTATAGTTATAAAAAAATGGCTTCTAAGTCCTCTTTCCTATGTTTTTTCTTTTGTTTTCTCTTTCTTTGCCAGATCAGCTTCGCTCAAATTTTTGAGCGACAACAATTCTGGCAAAGGCTGCAGCATCAGCAGCAGCACCGGGCACTCAGGTCCAAGACCGAGTGCCAGATTGAGCGTTTGAACGCTCAAGAACCGAACCGTAGGTTCGAGTCTGAGGCGGGTGTAGTTGAGTTCTGGGATGCTACCCAAGAACAGTTTGAGTGCGCTGGAGTTCAAGCCGTTAGGCATGAGATCCGGCGCAATGGGCTTTTGTTGCCTTACTATAGCAACACTCCCCAGCTCATCTATATTGTTCAAGGCAAGTCTACTACTCTTTTTTATTTTTAATTTATTTATATGAATTTAACTAATTCAAATTTGAATCGAGTAAGGTCTATTTGAGTGGTTCGATTGACCACCATTTTAATTCAAAACTTAAATAAATATTCTATTTGTTCTATTTTATATGACATATGTACTTTTTCGTGTCGTTAAAGAGTTTTTTCTTTGACCATGATTTTCTTTAAGTATTTTTTAAATATTCCTGATTTATTAATTGTTGTAATTTTCTTCTGTTTTTTTTATTTAGTTTTCAAATATATATATAAAGTTTGTTTGAGAAAACTTGAAGAATCTATATTTGTATGTTTCTCTACTTTTTATTTAGTTTTTAAATATACAAAATTTATTTCAGAAAATTTGAAGAAATCAATTTTTGAGTCTTTATTTACTTTTTATTTTAAAATATTAAATTTATTTAAGTAAATTAAAGAATTTATTTTCAAATTCACATAAGAAATTAATACTTTTTTGACACATCCCAACATAAATTTTATTTCAAAAATTTTATTCTTGAATTCACTTCAAATTGAGTTAGTTTCTTTCTTTCTTTTGCAATATTTTGACTCTCATACTCTGAATAACATCATAGCATTTTAAATTCAAGTACAAACAAAATTGTCAGTCACATATAAATTCTGAATTTGTCACTGACTGAGGCTACTCTACTACTCTTATGTAGTATAGCTAGTAGCTTCTGTTATGGTTTTAGTTGACATTTGTTTTGATGCATGTAGGAAGTGGAGTTCATTCAGCAATATTCCCAGGTTGCGCCGAGACATTTGAAACAGAGTCACCACTCGATCGTAGGGCTCGGTCAGGAGATAGAGGGCAGAGATCACTCGATCGTCACCAGAAAGTTAGGCGTTTTCGGGCGGGAGATATTCTTGCATTGCCTGCTGGAGTTACTCATTGGACATACAATGATGGTGAAGAACCTATTATTAGTGTCTCACTTATTGACACTTCTAATGTTGCCAATCAACTTGATCTCACATTCAGGGTAATTAAAAAGAATGATACGTTTCTAAATATTTTTCGTTTTACAACAAGATTGCACAACCACACATATTTTAGACCATGAATTTCAAAAACCAGACTTTCAAGTGTTAATTTTCATGTCCAATCAAAACTGTTGCATAAATTGGGATAGAGGAAGTAGTTGTTTTCACAAGATACAAAATAAATTGGAACCACATGGAGTTATACTAGCTAGTAAAATCTTTGAATCACTCTCTTATAATAGTTATATATATAACTAGTAAATCATTCATTTATAACATGTTTTACTTATTAGACACAAAATATGTAACAAAATCAACATAACCCTACCTCAGAGATAGAGAAGTTGTTTCTGATAAGACGAGCCTCGACTCAAGGATATCGTAACAAAATCATGGTACTTAATTCACTTTTTTTTTATTGATTGATTTTGAATTTGGCAGAAATTCTTCCTAGCTGGGAATCCTCAACGTGGTGTACAAGAACAAGTACTAGGAAGACAACAAGAGACAGGCAGCCAATATGGAAGAAGAGGATCTGAACAAGAGAAAGGAGGCAACATGTTAAGTGGATTTGATGCTCAAGTTCTCTCCGAGGCATTCAATGTAGACGTTGAGGTTATACGAAAGATCCAGGAACAGGCCCCCGAGAGGGGCGTTATTGTCCAGGCTGAGAACCTTCGGTTCCTCCTCCCGGAGGCTAAAGAAGAAGAAGAAGAAAGAGAATGGCATAGTAGAAGAGGAATCCCTCTTAATGGATTGGAAGAAACTTTTTGCACAATGAAGTTGAGGGAGAACATTGGCCATCCTACTAGGTCTGACGTGTACAATCCACGTGGCGGACGCATAAGCACCGTCAACAGCAACACTCTCCCCGTCCTTAACTGGCTCCAGCTCAGCGCTGAGAGAGGAACACTCTACAACGTAAGTGGTTATCCCTATTAAAAAAATTTAACTTTTATATACTGACAGTTTAACTTTTCATATTAAAGAGTTTGACTTTAATACACTCTTACTCTAAACTATAGTAGCTCGATATAAATGCATGTATTCTTCACTATGAATTAGTAGCATGACATAACAAGTAATTTGAGATAACTACACGTAATTGTTCATACTAATTTGTCAATAAGAGTTAGTCACTTGAAAAAAAAAGCGGTTCTAATTGTGTTATTGTATATATGATCAGTGTACATAAGTTAAATTCATCGTGACATGTTTGCACGTATTACAGAATGCTATAGTGGCACCACATTGGAACATGAACGCTCACTCAATCATCTATATCATCCGTGGAAGCGGCCGGTTCCAGGTGGTTGGGAACGCGGGAAAGTCCGTGTTTGATGATGAGGTGAGGCAGGGGCAACTTATCGTCGTGCCTCAAAACTTTGCTATAGTGAAGAAGGCAGGGGAGCAAGGGCTCGATTACATCGCTTTCAAGACCAATGACAACGCGATGATTAGCCCGTTAGCCGGACGTTTATCGGCTATCCGAGCCATGCCAGAGGAAGTCCTCATGAACTCATACCAAATTACAAGGCAGGAAGCTAAGAGCTTGAAGTATAATAGGGATGAGCTTAGTGTTTTTGGACCAGGAGCTAGATCTAGCAGGCAATATGCCTAAATGTAACATTATGTAAAAAAAAATATAAAAAAATCAAATAATGTAGTGTCTCAAAAATCCTATCTTTTATGTTAGGATTTGTTTGGTGAGGGAATAATTAAAAAAAATGCCTCTTGTAAAAGGCAGTTCTAACGTTTAATTAATCTTTTGAGTGAATCGAGAAAAATGTTTGATTGTCCATCTTTCTGATGATACATATATCAAGCCTTGCATTCTACGGATAATTCAAATCAGAGTAATTGAATGTCTAACTTGGTTGGGCCTATATGACATGACCGATCAATAGATTTAACTATTTTTTTCATACATAAGGTCCCTTAATATGTCTCTATCTGTGTAATTAGCATTATTTCACATGCCAATATAGTATTTTCCACTATCTACTGATCAGTGGTAACTTTATACTATATGTTAAAACTAAAAACAAAGAAGTTCAAATCTCAAAATAAATAAAATAATAAAAGAATTTGGTGGTCCTCCCCATATTTAATGGTCAAGAAAAAACACATAAAAATTTTCAGACTTGTCATACTCCCAATTTATGATGAAACCCAAAATTGACCCCTCAAAGTTCTGGTAATTCTGAAAGTTCCTCAGTCTTTATGAAAAAGTTGAATAAAAAGTCCATGTCAATGTCATCCTCCATTATTGTTGTACTATTAAATATGTCCAAACTTTGAAATTCTTCACCATCCGTAGTAGTAACAAAATCGAAGTTGTTCTCTGTTGATAATTCGTCTGTCCAAAAACTCTCATCGATCTTAACGAAATACTCTGATGAGTCCATTTCTTCATGTTTAATCACTATCTGATCGTCGATCATCGTATCGAAAGTGGCAATTGATGATGAATTTGTTGTCATGACTGACGTCTCGCTAGACGATATTTCTGGTGAGTTAGGAGCATGTATGCAATTATTTATTTGATTAATTTTTTTGGAGTGTCTTTTGAAGCTTTGAGGAGACGGATAATCTTTTAGCCTTTTCTTCAAGTGGGTGTGCCAAATATTTTTTATTTCATTATCTGTTCTTCCCGGTAATCTTGCTGCTATTGCTGACCATCTGAAGAAAAAAAATCATTTTTTAATTAGAATAAGGGTATAATATAAAATCTTTCTAAATTAAATATCGCATTGATAATTGAGATTTTAGTTAAATATATTATATTTATAATGTCAAATCTAGGGAAATAGGGGTCTATGTCACATCTACATTTATATTTTTAATTGCAATTAATGCATAGATTTGCTAATAGAATTATAATTAATAATATATTTACCAACTTATCTAAATGAATCATTTCACAATTTTTAAAAAAAACATGGGTATAAGGACATGTTATCAAAGTGTGCATGATCCTCATATTTCCAATCCCTTAATAACAAATTTACTACAAAATATTAAAAATTAGAGATGGACTATTACATCTTTCACTAAATAATAAAATTTGTTTTAATCCTATTAACAATAAAATAATGATAAATTATTAAAAAATTATGTTAATCGACTATATATATATAGCAACATATTAGCAACAAATTTCGTAATTAATAATTACTAACCTATTGCCAAGAATTTCATGTAAATTGATGATATTATCTTCTTCTTCTTTGGTGAAATTTCCCCTCTTTATATCTGGACTCAAATAATTCATCCACCTCAATCTGCAACTTTTTCCACATCTCAATAATCCTGAATAGGAAAAAAAAAAAAGGCAAAATATATATCAGAAATGAGTTTTATTTTCCAAAATCTCAAGAAAAATATAAATCAAAAATAGGTTTTTATTCTTCAAAAACACTTTTTTCTTCCAATTCCATGATATTTTTCTAATAATTTCTTCATCAAATTTTTAGTAAACATAATAGGCCAATAAAATAGTTATTAATTACTAATTTTTGATGGGGGCACAAAATTAAGCAAAACAATTTTAAAAATAAAATAAAATTGCAGGTCTAAATCTGACATATTATTTGTGTAAAATGTAGTTTTGGAGAATAACAATTTGTGTTTGATAAATTAATTTTAAAAGATACTTTTTATTAATATTAGATCAACAATTTATGCTTGACCAAAATTCTTAAAGTGCTATCACAAAAAAACTTCTTTTTTTTTCGGCTTCTAAATAGAACTACTCCTACTACTAATCAAAAGTACTTATTTTTCCCCAAAATAATTGATCAAACATGTTTTATAGTCAAAATATTTGCAAATTTAGAAAGGAAGTTAACATTATAGTATAACATCCCAAAAGTCAAAATGAATATAACGTCACTTAAATTGAAACAGATAGATTATATCGTAATTTTTAAGCAATTACCAGCTTGTTTAGGGAGCGCACGCCAATTGCTATGGCCATTTTTGTTAATGTAAGAGATGAGAATTTGATCTTCTTCGTGATCCCATGGCCCTTTCTTCAAGCTCGTTTTCTCACAACAAGGTGCTCTGCCCATTTTTCTTTTTTCTCACTCGTTTTTTTGAAACAGACTAAAAAGAAATAACTTTAACTTCTTTTTTTCTTCAAATTTTTATGTGTGAGAGAAATTATTAGAAGTCTCACTCTTCAGTTTCAGTGAAAAAAAAGAAAGAAAATGGTTGAAGTGTTTAGTGAAGGCTAAGAATGGGTATTTATATTAGCATATATTTTGAAAGAAATAAAAAGAATAGTCAAAGGTCAAAAAGTCCTTTCTTGCAATTTCCATGAAGTTGTGTTTGTTTTTGTATTTATTTTCATTAAAAATAATTAACATATTTTGATATTGTATAATGCAAGTGTGTGGACCATAAAAAAGGGATGGGGGAAAATGTGCGTTTTATTTCATGTCTTGCGTATTTCTTACGTGGTTTTTGAGTTACTATGTAAAAGCGAACTTATTTTGTGCGTAGCATATATATATATATTTTTTTTTTCCTACTTAACCTATCATCAATTATTTGATAAAACATATATCCTTCAATTATTACTTGTTTTATTTTCCTACATGTGAATGATAACTGTGATACTCCAGGTAGCTAGAAAAAGGGAATAACTAATAATTGAGGTGTGTTTTGATAAATAGTAGAGGGTAATTCGAGTGACAAACTCACATAACTAATAATCCAAATATGAAACTTGAAAAAACATGATACTTTAGGTCTATTTTTTACTATTATATTTATAAATGGAGAAAATGGAGAATCAAAGTCTCATCAATTAAGTGAAAGTTGAAATAGCCAACCAATTAAACTCATAAAATTATTTATAAGTGACTTACGAATTAAAAACCTTCTTTGATTTATTAAATTTATTCACAATCTTTACACACACTCGACCAATTTTGTTGTTTACTTTTGTCCATCTATATACATATATTATATATTGATTATACACGATTATATATATGTTATATATAGATTATATATATTTATTTTAAATTTAAATAATAGATGGACCACTATTTGAATTATTTAGTAAAGGCTTAAGTCATCTGCGGTCCCTTAAAGTTGTCCGCATAATTCATTTAAACACCTCAACTAAGGTGTGTACCTATTGAACACTTTTATTGTTCAAAATGAGTATCTATTGAACATTTTTCGCTGACATGGCAAAGAGAGTGCAACACACATACATAGGAGCGCATGAAGGGGCAATTTTTAGCTAATTTTTTTAAAAAAAATCTCCTTCTTCTTTCCACAAATGCATATTTATCTTTCAAGTCAAACAATGTATCTTCTTCCAGAATTATCGACCGAATAAAGAAACTTAGATGATGCAACGACCTGTTAACATTAAAGAAATTAGTGATACATTCCATAAAACAATTATTTCTATGTATCAATCACAAACAATCAGACAACTAATTTATACTTAATATCATGTACAAGATATAAATATAATCTGATACATACTCTCATCTTAAACATTTTGATGCTTTTACAACAAATTACATGTATAATGTATCATCTATAAAGTATAGTATTTCACAAACACAATAAGATACAAAAATAGTAATGTATCATGCTAAATATTTGGTCATGATACAATAATTTAAATTAATACTACATGTATCACACAGTAATGTGTCAAACTCTAAGCAAACACTTTACGTAAAATTTACATATTTAATGTATCTAATTAATAGAAATATAATACTTATCAATTTTTACAAGATACATAAATACTAATGTATTACGATTGATATAGTCATCTCGAAAACACAAATCAAATATTGAATTAACAACACAATATATGTAATTTCATACCTCTGTTTATCAGATCTATTTTATACATTGCAAATTTAGGCTCATATTTTTTCCAGATTCCTGAATGTCACATCTTTTTTTGTTGAAGAAAACCCCCTAATGGCAAAGGAGTGTAGATCAAACTCCCGCTGCTTGAAAACATAAATATAGCAGCGGATACTAACCAACATGAAGACATGTGCAACAGAAAGTTCAATTAGATGGAGAACCCCTTGAGTGGAGCAAATTTGATCAATATCTCTACTTCCTTCTCTTCTGATTTCTATTTCTTGAGTTTCCATTCTGAGCTTTCAAGGTTAGCCACTTGAATTTCGTCTACCGTCTTTGGAAGATGGTCCATCACCATTATTTGTTTTGATTTCGCTTTAACTATCTTCTTGTTGGTTCTGTTGGCAACCTTGGCTAATGCAGATCGACGTGATTGCAAGATAAATGAGAGAAGAAAATTTGAATTTTTATTTGATTTGATATGTTAAGATTTGGGAGAAATTGAAATCAATTAGATTAGCGTGATTTGGGGACTCACAATCAATTTTATATTTTCTTTCCTTTAAAAATGTAACTGATTTTGTTTTAATGTATCAAATTTAATGTATCTGATTTCTTTGCTATGTATCCGGATAACACTGATTTTGAGGGATTTTTGTAAATTGAAAAAGAATAGGGATAAAATGTAATTTAGGTCCTTATACTATGAGATTTATGTAAGTTATACTTAATTGGAGAATCAAAGTCTCATCAATTAAGTGAAAGTTGAAATAGCCAACCAATTAAACACATAAAATTATTTATAAGTGACTTACAAATTAAAAACCTTCTTTGATTTATTAAATTTATTCACAATCTTTACACACACTCGACCAATTTTGTTGTTTACTTTTGTCCATCTATATACATATATTATATATTGATTATACACGATTATATATATGTTATATATAGATTATATATATTTATTTTAAATTTAAATAATAGATGAACGACTATTTGAATTATTTAGTAAAGGCTTAAGTCATCTGCGGCCCTTTAAAGTTGTCCGCATAATTCATTTAAACACCTCAACTAAGGTGTGTACCTATTGAACACTTTTATTGTTCAAAATAAGTATCTATTGAACATTTTTCGCTGACATGGCAAAGAGAGTGCAACACACATACATAGGAGCGCATGAAGGGGCAATTTTTAGCTAATTTTTTAAAAAATAATCTATTTCTTCTTCTTTCTTGTTTAGCCATATCATTTTTTTTCCAACACCACCCATTTCCGGTGACATCGCCGCCATTGCCCCTATCGCCATCCACCCTTCTCTTCTCTCTTTTCACTAGCCATATCTTCCTTCCCCTTACCATCATCGTTTTCATCTTAAATACTGTAACAATCA